TTTTTGCAAAGGAACGAACGTCGTTTGTTCGTTCCTTTAATTGAGACCACAATACGTTTCGTCTGTTTTCCATTGTCACGGAAATTTGACAATCACGCGCACATGACGACGAGAAGAGCACAAAACAGCGCGTTAAAGTATCGACGCGGCGGCGATACGTTTTTTAATCAGAACGTTACTTATGACTGGCTGCTTTCTTCCCCGGCTCGTCTAAGTAGACGAGTAGACTTCTTTCGTCTGAAACTCTCGTCGCGCGTTTCTTGCTTCTTTGCTGTTTATGCGTGCCGACGACAGAAACGGGGTTCTTGGGAGCTTCTGAAACGGATACAACGGACGAGGTAGTTGACACAGAGAGAGAGAGAGAGAGAAAGAGAGGAACAAGTTCACGGAAAGCTTAGGGGAAAAGTTCCCTTAGAATAGAGATCCGTCTGAATAACGAAATTGCAAAATTCGTTCTCTTTATATCGTAGGTAGGTAGTTTTTTGGTAGTTTTGGATTAATAGCGAGATTTTTTAGATCGCGGTAATCGTTGTCAAAGATGGCGGATGCTTGAGCACTTTTAAAATTCCAAGAATCTGCAGAATGCATATATAATATATAATATTGCATAATATATAATATATAATATGCATATATAATATATAATATATAATATGCATATATAATATTCGTACATTCGTACGAGACATTCGAGATAGAGTATCTTTTATTTTCGTGTGAAAGAATATTGCTATTTAAGCCCCACGCCTTTAATCATGTTCGTGGACATATGAAATTGCTGAAAGTGAGCTTATCTCTAAAATTCGATTGATTTTGTAATTTCATAATTTTACTGTATATTGTCACTGACGAGAGATAGTAATCTTCTTTGCTAATACGAGCGCTGTAGCATCTTCTTGCCGAATCAGAAACTGTTTAGCTATGTTGAGTATTGCAGAGACGCTGAAACGGCGATGAATTTTTGGAAGTATAAAGTACAAGTCAAGTACTAGGACAAAGATTTACAAACCGTTTGCAATTATCAATAGTAGCTGATTATACAGATTGGGATATTTCTTCTTTAATTTTGAAGAAAGCTTCGAGAAACGATCGATGAATTTGATACGGGACGTGTGTTAAATGGGATTACCTAAATATCCGTTTTATTTCTCCTGTGAAAGAGCTTCTTCGAATAGAATTGCAAGAGGCCATTTCCATTTTGAAACAATGCAACTCGCTGGGGAAGAAGGTTCTTCATACGCCGATAAAATATATACGACAGATATTCAGGTGGTCCATCCATTACGAAAACTTGTTTGTCTCTTCTTTTCTTTGCAATATATATATATATATAGAGAGAGAGAGAGAGAGAGAGAGCTGTAAATATATGTACATACACAGCCAGAAAATATGCCGAAACAAATCGACCAAATATAACGATTGAACAATGTACGTAGAGTGTGGTAAGTACGCGATGAACGAAGCTATTGGAGTTCAGGTGGACTTCGCGTGCGCAGTAATAACACACGGATGAAATTCGGTTGTTTCTCATCAACCTGTTTCCTTGTCTCACACACACACACACACACACACACACATACACACCAACCCCTCGTTATTTCATATTTATCGCTGTATAACGGAACAAATGTATTTACATACTTGTAATTAATCGTGCATGTCAAAAAAAAAAAAAAAAAAAGCAAACGGGGGGAGAGGGGGAGAGAAAAGGTTCCTATAATTCTCAACGAATGGATCGCCGGTGATCCACTTCAGGAATTATTTACAACAAATAAGCAGCATTTCCTAATCGACGAGGAGGAACAACGACGACGATGTTTTCCACCGGTTCTTTCACTGAATGTATTTGTTATTCCGTGCGTAAAGGTAGAAGAAGAAGAGAAAAGACAAA